TTTATAAAAACTATATACAGGCACTCAACTGAGAACTCATTTCTCTTAAGTAACCAACAAAACTCACCCCTCTTATTGAATGTAAGTTGAAATCCAAACAAAATTCCCCACAATCGCGTTTTTGGCTCTCGTCGCAAATAAATAGCCATCCTAAAGGCCAGAAAACATGAATAAAGGTTATGCTGATTTGTTGCAATTGGGCAAACGAAAATTTGAATACAGTGTTTGCTTGTTCGTTCGTTCATTTCCCGGCTGGATGGCTGGTCTGTCCAGCCGTCCCGTAGCTCGTCGGCTCCTCTGATAATTCGTGTCAGGGTGAACAGTAGCAACTAAAAAACTATGAAAAGGTGCATGAACAGGTAAAACTTACAAACCATGAAGTTACCCAAAAGTAAACCAGTACCTGTTAGGGTTCATTTCAGGTCCATAAGCGAAGTAATACAACTGTCCCTCGGGAGCTTTTGCATTGATATTGAAGCACAGAGGTGGGAATGGTGCAGTGGCTTTCTTCTTTAAAAGATATCTACAAAACAGCAACAAAGTATTCTTAGGGTTACTTCACTGTTCACGTCCGTATTCGAATATAGCCCTAACGCTCGCGAACTTAGGATATCTGACAAAAGATAACTAAGGGCCAGAGGGGTTCATCTGTACGGGGCATTCTCGCAAACCACGCAGTTTTCTGTCTACCACAGCTGCCTGTAGATCATACCGAAGTCCCCAGGAAAATTTGCATATAAATCAAATGTGTGGAAAATTCGTTCGCAGCTACAGATGGTCCATCTAAACCCCTAAAATTTGCTACATAAAATCTGCTACAAGCGTCTTAACTTTTCAGGCTTTGAATGATTTAGCGGCGTCAGGTTAACCTTACATGAGAACAAGCTCATGTTTTTGCATTGGATTCTCACCTAAACGCTGTGTTTCACCCCACGGATATTACCCTACTTTGGAAATAGCGGACGCGATAGTGTGCGTACAAACCTTGACTCCGAGAGAGGCATTGGTTTAGCTACAACCTCCAAATTTGAGAAGTCATTTTCGGCATCATCAAGGCTGCCAACATCACCGCCATCGTCATCATCATCGACTTTATCACCCCAGTCATAGTGTTGTGCATCTGGAAAGAATTCTTCACGACCAAAGCTCCATGCACTATCACAATTTCTCTGATTTATTGTACCTCCTAAGTTATCAAACGTTGAAGAATCCGTAACACAAGACATTGTTTCCACGCCAGAACTGCTGTCTTCAACATCGTGAAAACTTCTCAGGTCGTTTTTATCGTCCATTGTCACAAACACCCCTGTTAGCGAGCTCCGAGAAGCCTTTTTATCCTCTGAATGATCATCCTGCCCATCATTCAGAGATGTAGCGTTCTCTGAGTCAGACCTTCCATTACGCATTTGCGAATACCTGCTATTTTCTTTACAGTCTCCTGTCACAACAGCTTGGTCGTTTTGATGAAGTTCCTTTTCACTATCGAAATCCCTGCCAACGTCAGCCGGAGTCATTTCTCTTGTCGCCAAAGGCAGGCTGCTGGACGGAACACCATCAATTGTTGCCTCGTTCACGTTGTTTCCATTTCCGTTCTGCTCATCCAATATCTTTTTGTACTGCTCAGTAAAATAACCGGGTAACGACTCCCTGACATGCTTTGTCAAGTCTTCCGTTTTTTCAATTATTGCAGATGCAGTCACTGTGGTGTTTAAATTTGCAGGATCACGAAAATCTTTATTTTTCCCCTTTCTCCTTCCCGCTTGTTTGCCCGAGGGTGGTCTTGAACACTTTGCGCCTTTTTCAAAGGCCTTCTTGTCCTTGGTGGCAATAGCTGTTTGTCTTGTATACCCAGCTGACTGCGCCCTTTTTACCCTTGACCTCTCAGCTCTAGGAGTCGGGGGCTTCATAGCTGAGGTACTAAGATTCAGAGTGTCAAGCACTTTAAAAATATCTGCCGATGGTATTCTGTTAGAATCTAAAACATCACTATCCAGGTAGTCGTCAACATCATCTTTACTAAAATCAGTATGAAATCCTCTCAGTGGCTCCACTGTCTGATCATTGCATGGCGTTAAAAGAAAACCTTCCGTGTCCAGTGTTGCGCCAGACTTCACCCTGATGTGAACATCGATTATTTTATCAGAATTCACACATAAAGGGCTGCTAGGAGGCTCAACAACCTCCTGTACATCTGAGCCGTGTGTGAATCCCAAACGAAGTTTGTCTCTGCTTTTCTGACGAGACTTCAGCAATGACACGTTCAGAAGGTCTGTCTTAATGACGTCCCTATCACAGTCTTCTTCGCCGCTACTTCTTAGACGCCTTTGTTTCCCATGAGTAGTACCAGTATTAGTCTTCATCCCGCCATGAGTTTTAGAAGCGCGAGTTCCACCACCTCTGTGACAACCAACAGAGTGCTGAGTCTGCCGTGCCCAATGACCCTCTTCTCTATCACTGTCATCGTCTGAGTGCCTCTTTACATTATGATCAAAATAAGGTTTACAGCTGCTATCGGGCTTTGAATGATTTCCGTTTCCTGTAGATGGGCACCGGAGATTTTCCTCAGAGTGCTCCCTGTCCTTGTTATAATCAAGTGTAGATTCAGCCTGATTCGCTTCATCAATACTGTCTTCGCTTCCTTCTTCTGGAAAACTACCATCACTGTCGTTGTTGGCCTCGTCAACAGAAGATGCACACGAAGTGTTATGGATGGAGCTCTCTGGTCGCAGCAGCTGGTTAGGACTATCTGGCCTTGCTGCACCGAAATTTGCAATATCCGACGCTGAGAACACTCTGGAAGGTTTGGCACTCCCGAGTGAATTATCTGTCTGCCTTCTAGCAAAACCGTGGTATCTTCTCGCACCTGTAAAAGCATAGACAACGGAACTGTTAATTTTACAGATTTGTGTTTCGTAATTATATAGGTTTACGATTGTCTCCAATACGAATAAGTCTGTGCGTGAACGTTTTCCAAGCAAGATATCACGCTGATATCTTCACTATTGGGGTAGTAGACGTTAAGGAGGGGGGAGGGAGGTCTGACCTAAACGTCTAGTGGACCGGGGAACAAGTAAATATGTTGATGCTCCCTTAATTAAATGTTTGTTTCCTTCAATTATACTGATGTATAAGAAGCCACACGTGACACTGAACAAAGCGCACGTTGATTCAAAACTGACGATTTCATTTTTGTAAAGCAAAACAACATTTTGTAAAAGTTAAATCTGTTCCTTCTTGGAATCGAATTCTTGCATTCAAAAGTCAAGTTTAAATACATGTAGTTTCATTATGTCTTACAGTTGGAGGCCCTCTTGAGATCGATTTTAACTGTCTTTATTAGCTTTCCCAGAGCAGTTTTCAATTGAGTGTTGTAAAACCAAAACCAAACCAATTAGATTACACATGCAGCTAAACTCAAACCATAGTTAAACCAAAACCAAAGTAATTGCCTGTCGTGATTGTTGTTGACAATCCCTTGAAAACCACATAATTAAAATCAAAACAATATAATTATGCACAATACCCTTTTACAAGGCCTTTGAAATTGGACAAAAATGCCCCACACAGACCTACCAGCTACAATCCCTTGACAATTCCTCATGAGTGGCCCAGAGGCAGTCATAGGCCGCCCAAGTGGCTTCAGGCTGCCTGATTGTAACCGTGAAGGTGGGAGATTAAAGTTTCTTGTTCTTTTTGTCTTGTCCAGATGCTGTTTTACCTTTGTAACCCCAGCAATGGTCCGCTGCTTCAACTCAAAGCTTGGATCAACAACCTTTAAAGTATAAGATATTGAAACCGATGCAAAGCAACTTGGTTAGTAAAAACAAAATAGGAAAATGGGGAAAAAATGCCAGAATTACAACCTTTCAATTTTCAACCAGCTAGCCTGGATAAGTAGTTGCCTGTGTGTATAACTGGCATAATTTAACTGGGTGTGTCAAGTAACCTTTAGGCCAATGCATTGTTCACTTGAGATGGCTTGGTGTGCAAAATTGCATACACAAAAATTTCTCACAAACAATACAAGTAAATGACCACTGAACATGTAAGAAGGGGCCGTGAGTGGAAAACACGAGACTTTGCAAGAAGGTGAAACTAGCATTTTACTTTGTGAGCCCGAGACATTTTGACTTCAACCATTGTGAGACTGAAACTTCAAAGTGTTTTAAATGTGAACTCAAGATGTTCTAGTTTTAAGACTTTCAGACATCCTTTAAAAAAGAAATAAACCAGATCAGTACTTCAAGATTTTCTTAGCCTTGCAAAAAGATCAAGACTATGAGAGGCACAAAACTGCTAAAAATTAGACTGCTAGACATGTGAAATTTGGCGAAAATTTTGCAAGACCCATAGTATTTGGACTCTTTTAAAGGACCATTCACCACCCCTGTAAGATAAACTTCTGATCTGTTTATGCTTAACACTGGGTCAGATAATAGTAACAAAGAAAAATTTTCTTTGAAGATAGAAATATATGTTTAATGAAATAAATATATGTTTAATGAAATAGAGTCTTGATAACTACATGCAACACACAGTTAAGTCTTTCAACTGCATAAAACATGAAAATCTTTTCATCCTTAAAAGCCTTACCAATGCTGACCCCTTCACATCTTTTTCTGGCCCTTGTTTAAAGGGAGAGGTGATGTAAAAATTGTCTTTAGGGATCTGAACTCTCCTAGGTCTAGTTTTGTTCCTAGAAATGGATCCACCTGCAGCACTACTATACAAAGTGTTTGGGTCTCTCTCACTTTCAGCAATCAAAGATGAATTTTCTACAGGAATGACATCAGAGTATATTCAATTAACTGGGATAATTTAATTAAAGACATGCATCAGCAAGGAGGGGGGTAATCTGACAATGAATCATGTTTGTAAATGGCCAAAAAAAATACTGCCCACATAATTAATATATCAGGGCTCCTGATATTTTGCGCAGTCATGGAGCCACGAATTTCAAGTAAATCAGCAAAATCCTGCGAAATTCACAACAACAAGCAAAATACTGTGAAATTTACGAGAAATCGCACCAAAAACATACAACATATTTGAAACTTATCTTGGCTGTTGGGGCTGTTTACTTCCAGTTAACTTGCAAATTTATCATGAAATAAGTAAAAACATCCAAAAACCACCAGACGTTCTTAGATTAATGTTGCAAAAGACTGGGCACTCACTGTGGCCAGGATGTAAAAGGCTTCGCCATTGCCACATTTCTTGAGAGCATTGTTAAAAGAGCAAATGATAATCTCTGTTAAAAAGAACCTCATGGTCAAAAAAATAAAAACACGTACAATAGTCCAAACGAGTTGCTAATAAAATGCTCAAATGTTCCTGTAAAATCGCTGGTTTTTACAAAGGCAATACTTCTAAGTAGTCGGTGTTTCTGCTACTGTTGTTATTGCATAGGCTAATGCTCATCATTTTCCAAAAAAGCTGGCAAAATTGCAGTCTTTTTTGCTTAAAAACATTTGTCAAATCAGTGCAAAACCAATCGCTTTCCAGCAAAATTTGCTCAGACAATTCCCACACAATCAGCTGTTTTTCACCACTCATTTTTCAGCAAAATTTGCCCCAAAAATTTCCACGAATTTCCCGCAAAATCAACCGTTTTTTCCGCAAATTAATGTCTCTGAAAACCCCGCGAAATTTGACTTGTTTTTCCACAACCTATCAGAAGCCCTGATATATAGTGACACTTACATAACTGTACATAAATTTTGCAGACATGTACATCTGACAAAATTAGTTGACTTTTCAAAGCTCATTGTCCAAAATATGTCAAAGATATTAAAGAATGAAGAAAGAATGAAGTATCTCGTAAACCACAGCTAATGCCACAAAAATACTCAGACTGGCAAAACATAACCCCTTAGAGATAATAATAACAATATCTTTAAAAGGCCACTTTGGATTACAAGCCCCCTAAACATACAACAGAAAATTTCTCTCCTTGTTATGGGTACATTTTTAATACAATCAGGCCCAACATATGCTGATATAAAAAAAAAAACTATATTAATACAACTGTCATTCTTACCAAGGCTAAGTTCTGAAAATCTGGTGTCTATGCTTAAGTGCTTTCCTGGTTGCTAAAAAAAGGAAAATTATATTTGTAAGATGCTGAGGAAGATTTAGACAACTTTAATTTTAATATAAATCAACATAGGCTTAGTTAGCAGGGGAAGACTCCCGCCTCTACTTGAACTACATATGTGTGTGGAATCATCATTGTCCCTTCTTTAACAGTGATGACCTCTGGCCACCTGATATGATAATCGTAATTTTGTTATGAAGGTAGCAATAGCTCATGCTCAACCATAAGTTAACACATTAAATTGACCATGAAAGATTGATATTCACACACAAAAAAATACTGTCTAAAGTTTAAGTTATGTACCTGATGATTCGTTCCACTAGGTGGCCTCACATCAAACTCCACATCATAATCTTCCAGTTCTTGTCTGCACCTCTCAGTCGCTGAACAGCTCCTTGCAGTAGATGCACTTGATTTCCTCGGGATACCAACTGAGTAAACTCCGTCGCAAGTACCCGTAGAATCCATTAAATTTAACCTATTTCTCGCGCTTCATTTTGATCTGAGTCACCGCTAGCGCTGCATGTAACCCTTACCGGCATGTAAAAAATCAACCTTTGCTTAGCTTCACACCACGAAATGGAATGAAAAATATGATTGAAGACCTTGAAGGTTTTATGCTCTGCTATTTTTTTAATCCGCTGGATCGGTCCTAGCTGAACAGTTTTTATTAAACGGTGCGAATTTCCATATTTCCATGGATTCGGACGCCATTTTGAGATGCAACTCGTTTCTCAAAGCATCATGGAATCCTGGCTGCTAAGGATTATGGGAAATTCAATATGGCGGATGACACGTTTATACGGCCATGCCAAAGTGGAAAAGATTCTTACCTGTTTGATATGGCTGGAGACAATGTTAAATGGAAAACAATATCTCTAACTCACGTTGAATATCCTGAAGGTAATTACGAGTAGCTTTTGTCGTCGTTGTAGGTCGTTTTTAGGCTAAAGCAATCTTCAACATGACGAAGTTTACAATCTTGAACATTCTCATAAAGATCCAACAAAGACTTGTAAGTTGTAAATTTTATCGGATCTCTTTATTTATACTGTATCCTTTTATACTTTAAATGCGCCAAGTTAATTCTGTTTCCTTTCCCTTGCATGTTTACAGGAGACATTGTTGGAAAGATCTTAGCATGGCTTAGTTTGCTTCCTATTTTTATCGTGGTTGGTTTTATAACGTTAATAGTCTTCCGGCGAGAAATACACACGGTAAGGTAGTTTTTTAGTGGAGCAGATCACATGATTTTGAGCGCAGTTTGGTGTAGATAATGAATTTTTTGAAGGTTAGCAAAATTGGGAGCAATTAAACAATTGCAGATTATGTAGCCTGGCTACTGGAGGCCTGGCTACATAAGCTTATGTACATAGTGGTGAAGTGGCTTGAAATCTACACTGTGCAACTAATTCATAACTCTTGAGGTTCAATAGAAAAGTGGCAATGTTTTACTTCTTTAAAACACCATCACATTTCATCATAGCATTAGAAGTTCACTAGAAAGGTGGCTACATGTCTATGCCGTTTTCACTGTCAGAATTTTCTTTACATCTCCCAATGGTCTGTAGGAAAGGCCTCACTTCAAAACTAATAGCAGTACTATATAACTGAGTTTATTCTGGCACTAAATTATTACTATTTAAGACTGTAACACTTCTATTTGCCCATCTCTACTTATTAATTTTAGAGCCCTTGAAGTTCATTTGGAAAAGTGGCTAATATGCATATCAACATATGCATCTAAAATGTCAAAATTTATTCAAAGATCTTGAATCTTTCATGGATACTCTATATGTGCAATATAAGGTACATTTATGAACCAATTTCAACTTTCTTTAGATTGTGTTTCCAATCACTGTGTATACATGTAATTACATGTATATGTCTTTAGGGGTTTCATTAATGTTTTCAGCAGAAGGGAAAAATGGTTTTCACAGGCACTTTTTTTTTGTATTGCAGATGACATTCTTTGGTGGAATTTTAATAAATGAACTTGTTAATATGATGGTGAAACACACCTTGGCACATCCTAGACTCTGTGGAGATCATTTGTTCCCAAATTCAAGCCATGGAATGCCTTCAGATCATTCTCAGTTTATGGCGTTCTTTGCCGTCTATTCTGTGTTGTTTATATATGTGAGGTGAGCAGTTCACTTCTTTAGCCATGCATTTGACATCAAAATATCAACTGGGAAAACTTAACATGATTCTATTGTTAACAGTTCTGTACACTTTCTTACCATGTGTTACATACCCAAGTTTATTTTGAATACTGGATCAGGACAGTACTGTTGAGGTTGAATAATCAGTACCTTTTTTCTTTTCAATCTTGAAAATAGTTAAGTCAGCTGCCAACTTTTTTCAAATTTTGTTGTAATAATAATTATTATTAGGAGTGTTTAGTTGGTAACACGATTTGGTGTACATTGTCAAACTCTTTCTGTAATCATATTAGTGGTTAAGTAACAAATTGCACTCACATTTGATTGATATCAACTGCAGACTAATTTGGCCTCACTCAGTCCTTTATGTGATTACCATACGTACTACCTGTAACCAGTTCAGAGTATTACTGGAATACAGTAAAATTACTTGTATACCATTTGTGTCAGTCACAATGATGCAATGTACAGGTTCACAACAATGTACTTTTGAGAGACCATCTTCTTCAGTACCATACATACTGTCAAATATCTGCTGACAGCTACACTGTAACACTCTACAATGACCTTGATTTGTTGACTGACTATTTACAAAATGCCACCTTAGTTGATAAACAGCCAGTTGCACTGTAATTCTACTCCAGGATGGTTATTGTCAGTAAAGATAGTCAACTGAACTTCTACAATATTATTCAGTCTAGCTATTTTTTTTTTAATCAACAATCACTTGTGTCCTAAATCGTTCATCTTTCAGACTCCTCCATTTTTCTCAGTCAACTACCATGTGGGATGATTTAATAGAAAATTTATGGCGTCATGTAGTAGCAGTTGGCGTTGTGTTAGTTGCTGTTGCTGTTGGATTTAGTAGGTTAGTGTAGTAAACACAGTACATGTCAGGGTGTAAAGAAAACCAATTTTGCAGCTTGCCCTTCTGACAAGCTTCAACTATGATTTACTTGCCTTGAAGCATTCTAGCCCTTAAAAAATTTCCAAAAAAACTTCACTTTACAACCACTTGATGAGGTTACCTATGATAGCTAGAATTATTGTCTGAGAACAAGGCCTGTACTATCTGCTGTCAAAACAAAAGGCTGAAGCTGATATCCAAACATACATGTAGTCATGGTACGGTTTCCTCTGGGTATGGCTCATGCAATGAGTTTGACTTTTAATTCATTTGTTTCTACAGGATTTACCTTAGATACCACACACCACATCAAGTGGGCTATGGCTTCTTATTGGGATGTGGATTGGGTGCTGCTTGGTTTATGTTCACGCAGACTGTTCTAACACCTCTCTTTCCAACAATAACAACCTGGTAATTTGTCAAATTTATTACAGTCAAACCCCTTTTTTCAGACAACTTGGGGACCATAGAAAATATTCATATTAATGAGCAGCAGTACAAATGTGCCCATAGACTACATGCCCTAGAAGCAGTCTGTGTTTTCAAGTAAGAACCAAATATAAGATAGAGTTGATTGAGTGGAGATTCAGCATAGTAAATCAGTGAGATTTCAGTTTCCCAGTAATGTAATTGACCTGCTCCAACCAGCAATGTTTATCATTGTTTCTGAGAGCTGATTACTTGATCATGTACTAGGCCTAGACTTACTGAAGCTTGAACAAGCCCTAGACATTTTTCAATACAGTTAACTTTTTAAATATCTTTCAAATGATCATATGTTTTGGTCCTATGGCAGTCTACTACTAACAACATCTTTAGAAATAGAATTTGCAACCTCATGTCTTACAGCTCTTTTAAAAGGTCAAAATGATTGGGAAAGTCTGGCTGGAGGAACATTGTACTAAATAATTTGAATTCCTGTAACATGAACTCATGGAAGACTGATGGTGCGCCAACAATTTGTATCTAAGATTTAGTTTGTAACTAATGCAATTGGATTTTCTCCAACAGGCCCCTCTGTGAATATCTAATGATCCGTGATTCAACTTTGATCCCATCAGTGATGTGGTTTGAATACACACAGTCAAGAACAGAAATGAAGTAAGCCAGTTCTTCCTGTTGTTCTTGATTTCAGTATTTCATTGCCTTTGGAAAAAGTTATAGTAAGCAACCAGAGGATGTAATGTTAACAATCAAAGTAACGAAATTTAGTTTTGTTCTTGTTTGTATAATTTTAGAAAACGACAGAGAAGAGGCTCACACAACAATTATTTCAAGTCACATACCTCCTGAAAGAAGGAATAATGATCAAAGAGTATAAGACGTACCATGAGCGCTCTGTGATAGACAGAAATGTATCAGATACCTTTTCTAATTAATCAACTACATGTACAAGAAGGTTGAAATCAACCCCTCATGTTATGATTAACTAAGAATGATCCTCTGGTATGATAGTGGTTCTCTGTTAATGCAAGCCATCACCCAGTGAACATTTTAAACCAGATTACTTAGTGTTGGCAAACATAACATACATGTAGGCCGTATAACTGCGGTGGGTAATAAATTTGTTATCAAATATAACCCCTAAAACTGAAACACTTTCAGCCGCATAACAGGCACAGGCAGATATATATCTATGGTGTAAGTTTTGGGGTCCATATACCCATGGGCAGTTTTTTTGCATTTACCTCCCCCCCCCCCACCCCCCACCCTCCCTATGCCCTGGAACATTTGTATTGCATTTCAATATTATTGTTAGTCTTAACTGTTTTAATTTTGTAGTGAGTTTCATAGTTGTTACAACTAAGGTGCAGTGTGTACAAAAGCCATCAGATAAGCAATGGTTATTGTCTCGATACACCAAAACATTTTGTTACATGAATGTCAGAATTTTTATTTTGACCCTATAAAGAGGGGATTGGCTGTTTGAGTTTACTGTATGGCAGTCTGGTCAGCCAAAAGGGTTACATTGCACTAAAAGATGGCAGCAACACTATACATCTTTGTATACTTAAAATGATATATAATTTAGAAATTATATGTTTTTACATTCTTATGTTGAAAGTCAAGATTCTCCACCAGGATATAATAATACCGGTGTTTTTTATTTTTTTTAAGGGCCAAACAATGCTACCTTAAACCTGCAACTAGATATTCTAACTCAAACTTACAACTCAAACTCAAGAAACTTTAAAATTGTAAACTATAAAAACAAAGAGTCTTGTGGAACTCTTCAGTCTCACCAAACCTGAAGAGTTGTAATTCTCTTTGTTAACTTTTTTGTACTGTAGTGTGCTTGCTTCTTGTCCCTCCATATTTGTTTGCCAATATAATTTCCATGAATTAATGCTACTCTTCAGAGTTGATTTTATGTTTGTACAAAAACAAAACACTACAGATGTGAAAATCTTGTTGCACTGTAGCAGGAATGAATTATCCACTGTCAGTATCGTAATAGTACTTGTAGATGTGTAGAAAAATTGGTGCTACAGGGGTGAATCCAGGATTTTTCTTAAGAGGGGTTGAACCACTAAGAAATGGTGTAACTGACTGGTGAGATAGACAAATTTTAAAAGCGAATACGAAGAAGGCTTCATTTCAGGGGGGGTGCACACCCTCAGCATCCTCCCCCTAGATCTGCCCCTGTGCAACATGTATGTAATAGAGAAGAAATGTTTTCTTTCCATTTCCTATAGATTTTCGTTGCAAATAATAAATATTAATAGTTATATTTTTGATGAAGCAAAATATATGATCAGTTGAATCAAGATACTGGCAGAGATATTTGAACAATATCATCTGAATTTTTGCTATTTTATTGTGTGTTATGATGTTCACAATTGTTTCTCCATACCTAAATTATCTAGACTACGAGTTGTCGGCTTTTGTTACTGAAATCCTCTACACGTAAGATTATGCAAATTAGAGAGGGAATGGGGAAGGCGAACAAGCAACGCAACGAAACCCGTTGCACGCTAGGAAAAGAAGACTGCTCATTGATACTCATGTTTTTGCAATGAAATCTGTAAGGAAAAGCCTTTGGCGCACGGCCTCAATTATACGTAAATACAATCTTGTTCACCTTCGGCCTAGCCTGTGCAGCCGGACGGGTCACAAAATCCACGGTATAGTCCGACGGTTTAGCTGACTTCTTTTTTTGGTGCAGTCTGCTTCGCCCTAGTGTACTCCCGTTATTTGGTCGTTGATTACATGACGTCTACTTGTTTGCCTCGCATTCCGTCCGTCTCTCTGTTTGTCTGTCTGTCTGTTTGTCGGTCGATGGACAGAGAGACTGACTGGCCGTGATCAGTTTTGATAACATAGCACGTTTCAGACCGGGATATCACAAAATGAACGCAAAAGCAGTGAATTCTGAAAGCAGATCGGCAGAGGTTACTCCACTTCAATTGCCAGGGTCGATTGCTTTCCAATAACTTTACTTACGACGGTTGTCTTCATTTTATATGAGTGACCCAAAGAGCTGATGCCACTTGGTAAGGTTTTCATTAAAGTGTGAAAAAACCAGACCGTATATATCAGTATATACACACCCGGAACACTGACCCTGGAACAGGCACCAAAACTGAACAAACACAAAGTGCATTTTGCGATAAGAAATCCGATGTTGGACGGATCACAAATCGACTAAAAAAAGGATTTAAAGGGCAACGAAAATATCCAAAAAATTTTCGGTTTTCGATGATTTTAAGGTAACGGAAACATCTTAACCCTATTAACTCTGGGCAGGGGAGGGAGCGGAGTTAGGGGACTTCTGAGATCCACACCAACTCGAGTGAACGGCGAAAATCGAGCCTAACTTTACACGCTTGTGACCAAAAACGCATGTGAGTAATCAACTCCAGATTGGATAATTTTTCCTCTAATTCAGTTGGGTACATTTGGCATTATATGAGAGAGGCGAGGAGGCCTCGTAGTTAGTGCGCTCGACTCCAAAACGAACGGTCCGGGTTCGAGCCCTGGCCGGGGATACTGTGTTGTATTCTTGCGCAAGATACTTTACCTTCACAGTGCTTCTTTTCAACCAGGCGTTCAACTGGGTATCAACAAATTTAATGCTGGGGGTAACCCTGCGATGGACTACCATCCCATCCAGGCAGGGGAGGGGGATATAGAAATATTCCTAGTCGCTTCATGCTACAGAAACCGGGATAAGCTCCGGTCTGATGGGCCACTTGACTCGTGCGCAGACTTAACCTTGCCTTGCATTTGGCATGACGTGCAGTGTGTCAAAGAAATTGATGTTCTCATGTCGACCGTATTTCGACAATGCATTAGATTCATAGCTTACAGTGCTAATTCCAGACTCCATGCCTTTTGATCCCTGATACATCTATACCTCATCACTGCTCTATTGTTATATTTTATTTATAAACATGCCGCGACATCTTTGTTCAATGCAACACCAAATCATCTTTTTAAGGCTCGCGATGTAACAACTTGAATTACATTCATAATCAGCATAACTTAACTTTTTAACAATTCAATCTTGGTGTTCGTGAACAAAATTTAAAAAAAATACTTAAGTCTTAGCTTGTGTAGTGGAGTTTACATATTCGATCTATCACTGTAAAAAAACACAGCAGAGTCCGGCATTTGTAACTAGCAGTTGCATTTCACCTTACTGCTATAAAGCACATTAGAATCTACCATTTGTAACTTGCAGCATACTTGCAGCAGCATCTAAGTGCTGCAAAGCACATCAGAGCCGGTCTAGCGTTCGAATCTTACAGAGCTGCATTTTATGAAAGCGCTATAAAGCAGATCAGAGTCTAGCATTTGTTACTAGCAGTCGCATTTCATCCAAGCTTCTTTGTAGATAAGCAGCAAAGTGGCCTGGATTTGTCTCAGGGTTGCTGTTCACGCTGCTCACGCCAAATATGATCTTGTTCTTCTGAGGATTGTAACAGACTCCATAACCATCAGGTACTGCTGGGCCGAACGATAAAAACAGCTCGTAATTTGAAGGAACCTTTATAGCCAAAAAAGACAGAGTGAAACGAAAACACAATCAACAACAACAACAACATCCTTTATTTTACCCTACTTACAAATTGATTCAAATTAATTAAGAGTTACAATTAAATAAGGGTACTGGCAACCTGAAATAACCAGTGGGTTACAAATTCCAGATTGCTAAGTTTAAAAGCTGATTATGCATAATGTGGTAGGACACACATCACACAACACACACAGACACACACAGACCTATACAGTATGATATATACCAGAAGAACAAAGTAATGAGAAGCCAAGATCACACCTATTAATTACATGTATATTCTAAAGTAAATACTTAATAGATATGTTATATCTTAGGCTAAAGTGAGGAACAAGATACATATTGTTAAGGCACGGCAAACACAGTGACAATATCTCAGAGTGTAATATAAAGAACGACAAAATGTGCATTGTAGTACTGCATTAATGCTGGGTGTCCTTCAGGACACATTCAAGAGGAGGAAAAACAGCAAAACAAAAAAAACAACAAAAGAAGGATGCTTACGACTTGCAGAAGAACACTAACACGGACTACAAAGATCACTCCCAAAAAACTGACCAAAGTTTTCAATTCTTTTTTCAATTTTTTCCATCCGTGGCGTAGTTCCTTTTAAGTTTTGAATAATCTATGGTTCAGCCTGTTGAAGGTGGAGGCATACAGGCTGCACGTACCTGGCTTGTTGAGAGTTTGTAATGCAAGGCGTACTGGTACGAGCTATCCATAAAAAGTTCGGGGAGGTTCATTCGTGATTCTATGGCCGCTAACTTCATTCCTAACAAGTGTCTGTCGATAGCTTGACCATTGACCGCCTGAGAGCAACACGAGACACAAATGTACATGGATTACACAATTTAACACAACAGAATACTTTCATTAAGGAGGCCTGGACTTAGTGAACTAATTCTTTCTACTTTTTTCAGCACATGAAAAAAAATAAATAATAAAATAAATGCTTTCCTGGATTCACTGTAGACAGAAGCATAGCAGCTCTCGTAAGCTTGTAGCCGCTGTTATTGGTTTAAGGCGAGGGACATTGTTTCTGCTGTTTGTTCTATTGTTTCCATAAAGGGTATTGAGCCATTCATGTGACACCTTACGAGAGTTGCTACATCACCCATTGCAGGAACACTCAATGACATGGAAAACCTATTCAAAGCTGCAGTTCATTTTGTTTCCAGTTTGGCCTTTATGGCTAGTGGATAACAAAACCCTGGAAGTTCACTTTAGCCGACACTGTCTTCAGTTTGTCAAATGCAATGAGAACACAGCAAAGAACATCCGAGACACTGACGAGCGTCGATCCCAGGACCTCCCGCTTGAGGTCTGTCGGTTGCTGGTTCAACAGAACCACAGAATACTCACAGTGAGCTAATGATCACGTGTCTCCTATTCAGCTGTGTTGTTATAAGAGGTTGCAGTCGAGCAGTTGGACATTGTATGACATTGGTTTGACCCCGTCTGGGAAGCAGATATTTCTTTTTCTGTTTTCCAGCACTGCTTGTGCAAACCTAATGCAGTTTAACTACACATCACCGAAGTTAACCGTCAACATCGCCGGTTGCTTCTATTGTGATCAGTTACCTCTTTAGTGTATGTTGTATGTGCTGATATCGCCTTCTGCATCAAGTCCAGTTTTTCAGCATTCTGCAGAGTAGAAAAAGGGACAGATATTCAATCATACATGTATTGTTTCTTGCCAATATAAAGAAACAGATTATGTATACAAACAGTTAGAAGAGATAAAGAGGAGCGCAACTGACCTTTTTGACTAAAAATAAAACCCTTTGGTAATAGTAAAGAACTCGAAGATCAAGTAGACTACGAG